AACATCTTGTATAATGAAACAGAGGGAGTAATAGAGTATGAATGTACTTTATGTATATTGAAATATGATTGGAATTAACTATATTGCTAGAGGTGTCATATACTCTTCTAGAAACAATTTAGGGGATTACATGTAATTTTTGGAAAATATATTGTTATGCAATAACACACGCTGATCAAAATTGCCCAAGATTTACGGAACAAATGCATATGACAATAAAAACCAAAAAAAAAAAAACAAGTTACCGCGTTATCACTTTAACATATATGCATGAATGGTTTCAATTCCATTTCTTTTTCTCAAGCACTCGAATGTATAAAGAAATTTTTTTGACAGAAACTTTTTTTGTGGCTGTTAATAGTTAGTCGGACGTATGCAATACTATCTTCAAAGAAATTTATTCCAATTATTATTTTTAGATTACCGCCAGATATCATGTCGTCAGTTTTTCAAAATCGGAACTACCTCATGTACCTTAAGAATCTAATTTAGACGCCCTAAAATATCAACCGTGTGCAATCCCTTTCCCCTATGTAATAGTCCAATTATCACTACACCATCTTGCTCGGATTAATATATAATTGTTTCTTGTTGGTTAAGTAAGAAATGTGATCGTAAACATTCTCTATATATTTGCCTCTCATAATATATACAATAGTTCTAAATGATTATGAAATATATATGGAGAACAAAATTCGTTTTAGAAAATTCCACGAGATTGCATTACATTATTACATCCATGTATAAGAACTAAGAAGTAAGAACATGTAGAATTCGGAATAGAGTTTTATGAGGTCTATGAGGATCTAATAATATCACGCATTAACAAAACCAACAAAATCAAGTTTGAAGTTTTTAGTATCAATTGAATATCTTTTAACAAAACAAAATAAAAGTTTTTAGTATCAAAATAACCTAATTTAAGCGTGTATTGGGAGATAAAAATATTTATCTCAGTCCAATATATATATCTGCATAAGAAATAACTTATACATATTTTGCAAAGCAATGCGTATGTCTATATATATACTAGTACTATATAAGAAAATTTCTTATTTATTGATCACCAAAATTTATTCGATTGGTCCCCTACAGAAGCCACATGTATTGTTGTTGAAGATAGCTTCTATCTATCATATCTATATAGACAGAGAACAAGTCACGTATGTATGTCTGTGTCCAAATAAAAGAGGACCAAAACTTCGACAGTACAAAAGAATATAATAAAACCAAAATTATTAATTTGTCTATTAATATGTATGCACATCATATCATGTTCACGCAATAGACAATACGAAAGTATCTAAAACACAGCATACGAAACATGAAGAATATATATATATATATATTGCTTAAAACAATGTATAGAGAAGAAACAAACAAACAAACGTGATTAGGTAAACTAGTTAGAAGATGGTCATTTCGAGTACAACACCATTACGTTTGAGAAACTGATTTATGTATCGTGAAATTGTCAAGTAATTAATATATGATAAACGACTATTCTCAAGTCTCAAAACATTAAGAAGCTAAAACGTTTTTTTTTTTTTAAATGATATAAAGAAAGTAATACGAGATTCTAAATTTATCATAAATTTAATTTGGAGTTTATCATAATTTAATTATAAACAATAAGTAATCTAGTCTTTAAAGTTTATCATAATCCCTCCAAATTAAATTTATTGTTTATAATTAAAAATAAAAAGATTATAGTTTGATTCCTTAATAATAGTATCACTTTTTGGATTTGTTTAAACTATAATTTACAAATAATAAGTCATGTTAAATATCTAGTTTAATCATTATATTTTACGTAATTTTATAAATTTGAGAATTAATTGTATGTGTTGACTGTTGACTGTTATATACCCTTCGTCCTTTTATAAGTGATGTTTTAGGATAATGCACATAGATTAAGAAATCATTTAATTTTTGTTTATTTCTAAATTAAAACATCATTTATTATCTAATCAGCCAATACATAAACAATGTACATAATATAAATAGTCAAAACCGATAAAAAAATAATTAATTTTGCATTGAAAATTGAAAACATCATCTATTTAAGAACAAAATTAGAAGTTTAAAACATCATTTGTAAAAGAACGGAAGGAGTATAAGATTTGGACACTGATAAATAACATGATCTTGATTGTTAAGTAGCTAGTTCCAAAAAATGTTCTTTTATGTTTTTTAAATGATGGAAGATGAATTAACAAATAAAATCAATTCAATAGGATAACCGTCATTTATATCTAATTTTTAAATCCTTTTAGTCAAGATGCATGTAACAATTTTATCTCTATTAATAAGTTAATTCATTTTCGACTCCTACTAATCAATGTTTATCCTTATATTAGATTGCATGGAGTCAGAAGCGGATACACGCGAAGCGTTTGGAAACGTGGAAGCAATTCTTATAGAAATTATAGAAAGTGGGTACGTGTTGGAAGCGTATATATAAATTAATATATATAAATTAATATATATATATATATATATATATATAAATAATAAAACATTAAACATTATATCATATAAAAAAATTACAACTAACACACAAATCTAATACATAAATTCTAAATACCTCAACTATATTTAAAAATCAAATAGTATACGTTAACAATAAAGAAAAGTCAAATAGTTCAAAGTCAAAAATTTTAAATCATTATCTTCATTCTCATTTTACTAATTCCATCAAATAAAATTATTATTTTGTTTTACCATAAAAACATCATCAAACTCAAGTTTCTCGAAATTAATTTAATTCAATTAATCATTCCAACATCTCCCAAATAAATGATCAACACCGTTGTCATTGTTCTAAGTATGGTCTTTTAAAAAGTAAAATAGATAATTTAGTTTTGGTTTTTCTTTTGTTGTATAAAAAACTATCAAAATAATTTCTTATTTCTTATTTATTTTGTGTCATCAAAATTTTAAAATGGAAGCGCAAGTTTTCAAAATAGAATCGTAAGCTTCCAACGAGCTTTCGAAATTAATTTTTTGGAAGCGTGATTCCGAAAGCTTCCGATTCCGACTAAGATTCCGAAGCGGGAAGCGGCCCTCCGCCGAAGCTTCCGTGCTTATATATATATGTACGGAATCAATATTGAAATAATCAAAACCTGCTTTTAAGTGAAACTACACATTTTGGAAGATGCTTAGAATTTAATCTTTAAAGTCTCCCGAAATGGAAGATTCGGCTGTCATAAGTTGTGACACTGAAAGCTATTGTTTTGCAATTCCTACTGAAAAGAAAAATAACAAATTTAAAGACTAGTGAACTGTGAACCTAAACCTTAAACTTGGATTCTCATTTTGAAATTGCTAGTACATTCGGCTGACGATCGATATAACTTTTCTTGAAAAGAAATGTATTAGTTCCTAAAGTCATGACAGTGAAATAAACTCGTTCACAAGAATGATCCAAACTCGTCAATCGTCATAGTCTCCTTCTATTCACATATTTCTCTTGTATTTGGCATTTCAAAAAAGAGGAGAAAAAAACACGAGATTGGTCGTTGTCTCGTAAAGGAACCAAACAAGGCCTTAATAAGTCCCACATTGGATTCTCCCATCGCACCGCTATTCTCTGAACCCTATTTTGTCCTTTTCATGACTCAATCCACAAGAACACAAAGAGAGTGAGAATTAGTGACTTACATGCAACACATATATTTAATATATGAGGATAGTACTATTGGTGCGTAGCATGAGTAATTACTAATCATAATGTTTTATGCATTTATTTAATTAATTTATTACAATAAAAAGTAGTGATTAAAGACACTAGTGACTTAAGTGAGTGTGCAATTGTGCACGCAAAAAGCTCTTTAACCTGAAAAAAAAAGACAGAATCATATTTGTTGGATGGCTTTAGAAGTAGAGAGGCCTCCTTAAAAAGAGTCATGCATTGGAATTCTTCAAAATCCTTTTAAATCATATAAAAACATTACATGTGTGCATTATAAAATTGTTCATTTCTTCTCTTTTCAAATAGTATGATTTATCTCTTTTTATTTGAAATTAAAGATTTGATATTAGATCCCACCATATTATTTGTTAATAAAGAACTATATTGGCCCACAACTAGAACATTAGATAATGGAAACAATAATTATACAAATACCTTTGTTTGAGACTTTTGTTTTCTTAATCAACAACAACAATAAAATTTTATATCATTATTTTCTTACTTACAATTTATATGTTCACTTTTTCCAATTTGAATTCGGACTATAATAACACAACGACATTAATTAGTAGAAAAAATTAAAACTATTTGATAAACCCAACACTTAGAACAATGAATGTATATCTACTCTATATGGAATGACATAACCAGTCTACCTAACTAGTTGATGGGGAAAATAATTTCAACTTATGATGATATCGAAAAGTTTTTTACGTGTTGACCTATTTGTTATCGTTTATATATATATATATGTTATTAACCTATAAACGAGTATAGTGGAGACTGGAGAGTCAAAGGCTTGACGTGTGGACTTCTCAGAAATAATTGGGAATTTAGAATTATATTTTGGTGGTTGAGCTAATTGGTAAGATTTGCTCACGTCACTTCCCCTTCAGTCTCCGTAGGCTGAATTTAAGGCTCTGAGTCTATAATTTCCTACATTCAAATTACTCTCTCTGTTTCACAAAGAGTGTCGTTTTAGAGTTTTGCACACAGATTAAGAAAACATTAAATTTTTTGTTTTTTCTAAACAAAAACATCATTACCTATATACTTAAACACAATCTGTCCAATAGTAAAACAATCTGCAGAATACTAATAATCATAAAGCATAAAAAAATCATTAAATTTTGCATTGAAAACCTAAAACGACACTCTTTGTGAAACAAAAATAAAACCTTAAAACGACACTCTTTGTGAAACGGAGGGAGTAGTGTTTTACTGTTTTTTTATAAAATCTGCACTGATTTTTGTTTATATATGTATAACCAAAATCTCAAGGAAACCAAATGTTACGAACAACATTACGGAATAAGGCTTATTTAGAAGCTACGCATTATCATCATCAAAGATTCATTCATATCTGTGTACAATAAACTTCTTTTTCTAACAAGAAAAACTTAGCTACGACAACAAAGTCACAAACTGAAACTATAATTTAAAATCCAAATACTCTTTAAGAAAAATCATTACAAAATCTAAATTCTTAAGTCTAATAACCAAAGTTTTCATGGCTTGTAATTAATATATAATTAGATAACTATATTAAAAAAAAAAAACTCAAAAGTCACTAACGGCGCCGTATAAACACCGTCTCTAAATCAGAAGGAGGCGTAAAGAACTCTATAACGGCGTTACTCCGACATTTCAACACCGGCCGTCGCTTTCTCGGTGCCGGTGGACATTCCAATATCTCCGGTATCTTTGTTTCCTTCGCTGTCGGTGTCGTCGAACACTCTTCCTCTTCATTGTAACAACCTTCTTCAACTTCGGCTTCTTTCTCCGGCGGCGCTCTGAGTTTCGTCTTCACCGGTTTCAACGAAGCCCGAATCGAAATCCCGGCGATAACCCATTTCTTCCCGTCAGAATCTAAACCTCCTTCGAATTGAGATTTCTTCGAAAAACCCATCTCTCCTTAACTAACTCCAATCAAGACAAAAGAAAAAAACAGAGTAAAAAACAGAGAGATAAAAACAGAGACTTTGTTCCAATTAGAAGAAGAGAGAATAAAATGAAAGTGGGAAAAAAGATTAAACTTGTGTTTGGTCAATTTTTTTGGTGTGAAAGAAAGAAAGTTTTTTTTTTTTTGAAGGAGGAAAAAAATGAGAAGAAAATGTGATAAAGAGAGGTTTAAATAGTCAAAATAATATTCTGTCTTTGGGGTCGCAAATGCCGACTCTCAGGAGAAATAATAAAGGAGAAGTTTTTTGAAGAAGATGAAGAAATGAGAAAGGGTAACATTGGAAATTTAAGAAGAATAAACATTAGCTGCCCGAGTAATTTTACGGGCAGAGTCGCAACCACCGTCTTTTTTTTGGCGCCATAGTTTGAGAGTTTTGGTTCGCAACGGCTCTTTTTCCCGCCTTTAAATGCTTTTTGTGATTTCCGATATTGCCCCCAGTTTACTTTCCCGCGAGGCTTCATATAGTTAAGGGAAGAACCAAAGAAGAGAACAATCGGTTCGGTTTATTGTTACTAATCGGTTATCGTTAATTTTAAAATTTGTTGTTATCTCGTTTCGGTTTAGATGAAAATCAACTCGGTTTAATTAACTTGTAAGACGTTTTGAATTTATATCACACAAGGCTTATTCGTCAACATTATTAAACTTATATGCTATACAATTCAATAAACAACAACATTAGAAAACATGGTCGAGTGTTGTTTTTTAACCGCATAAATGTTTACAAAGATTGTCTTAAATTCATAATGTCATAATGAGAGATAAATCATCTAAACGAAGGAGTTTACAGAAATGTATTCCAATGGTTTATGGCTTTATGCTGGTTTTGCAGCAATATCAAAAATTGTTTTTTTTTTTTTTTTTTTTTGATGAAAATACTTTTATATATATTGAATTCATCCCAAATGGGCTTTGGCTTTTGGGCCAGCGAAATTACACGGATACAAAATAGGAAAAGCCCAAATCGAAGATTGACGGAAAAAGAAGATCTGATCCGGACGGTACACCGGAAAACACGAAATCTAACCTAGAAGACCGACGCTAACAAGGACGACTCCATAGCAACAGAGAATCCGACGACAAGCAATCAGCCGGAGTTAGCGGTTCTTGCCTCAAGCCATCGCCGAAAACACGCCACAACCGGAACATTCCTCTCGGAAAGGTAGATCTGCCACAACCGAGACCTCTCCTCTCTTCTCCCCTACCTAGCAAGAAGAGAGAACACAAACCTAACCCTTACCTCCTCCGTCAAGCACCCTCGAACCAACCCGAGCAAACCGAACTTCAGATCCGGCGAAGAGAAAGCCAAACACGGCGGCGGAAGATGGAAGAGGCTCAAACTATCCATAAACCACACAAATCCGGCCAAAGAAACCCGCATCTAGCCATTTAAGATCCTGCCAAAGATCCACCGTTAATCTCTTCGCAAAGTGATGAAACCCACCAATCCAAAGCCCAACTTCCGCCGCAAGCCAGAGCTACATCTCTGAAGCCACCGAGCCGAGAGAGACAGTCCCAGAACCGCCAGCGTCCTTGACCAGCAGAACGCAGGAACCGCACCTCCAAGCAGCCGAGAAGAACAACCACCAACTTGCATCGAGCAGAGGATCCAACCACACCACACATCACCGGAGAAGAAGGCGCCCACCACCGCTTCAAACCCTGACCCAGCCACCGGCGATGAAGACCCTAAAGCTACGGCGGCTGCGACTCGAGAAATTTCTAGATCTAAAACAGAGGAGAGAGAAGAGAGAAAAGGAAATGAACATTGTCCGTTTAGCTTCTTCTAGGGTTTTCTCAAAATTGCTTTAAACTCAGAAAATATGCGTGAGAGACTTTTAGATGACACAAAATTGTTAAACATTGAAACTCAAAGATATAAATCATGTTTTTGTAATTTCTAAATCATATTTTAAAAAACATACACAATAGTATAATTGATCACATATAAAACAAATATAAAACAAGACTTGAAGTTAGATTAGTTCACCGAAAATAAACAAACTTTTGTAAGAACTAGGATATGATCTAAACGTTAGTATTAAAGTAATTAATCTAGTATTTTAACTAAGACTATTTTAGGAATAATTAACAATTAAGGTACATTTTGTCTAGAAATATCCAAGTATATTATGGTTAATGGGTCATATAATAAAATTGATTGGATTTAACACACAACGTTAAAATTACAAGGGGAATATGGAATTTAACAAGGGCCAAGTGATCCCCATTTGCTTCAAGTAGGTCCGCCAATGAGCACAACCACAATTTTGTTCAGTTCATTGTATAAACCTCTATTTTGTAACAAAAGTACCATCGGATAATTTTGTAAACCTCTATTTCTTGATAGTAGAACTAGTAGCATATCAAGCCATGTCTAAAACTAATCATGGAGGCAAACAACAATATATCTATAACTAATCGATCACTATTAAAGTTAACATCGTAATTAAGGTGTGCCATGCACCTATCTGATTCTGACCTATATAAGCTATTATTATGTGTACAAATTCAATGGTCATTATCAAACAGCAATATATATGCAGCTAATTCTAGTCATCAGAAAAATAAGGATAAGAGAGTCAGATAAATGACGATCATCATCATGATGGATTGTTCTCCCTCTAGTTCCAGAGTCAAAGATGAAAATTGGAGCCCTAGAAACATAAAGCGTTATTTCTCATATGTGCAATATGAAGAGATATAAGACAGAGATGCATTCTTAAACATTTAAAATTGTAGCTAAATTTTGGTTATTATTCGGTTATATGAGATGAAGAGATATAAATAAAGGCGCATCCCAATTTTTTCTTATACAAAAAGATGATGTAATCGAATCTATCTTTTAGTTAAGGTTTGCAATTTGCTATTTTATACAGATTTGATATATTCTTTTATGTAAAAGAAGTGATCAATATTCAATTATTAGGCGATAGGATGAATGGACCCTTGAGAGACATGAATGGTGATAGAGACAAGTTGAAGAAGGTCATGACTAGCAGCTAGGGCTGACATTGTGTCACATATGCATTTGATTTATTCGCATTCAAAACGTTATAAAAATCAATGTAAAATATGATGAAGAACAATTTGAAATATTTTAAAAATTTAATACTGAAATTGAAAGTAACGTATATTATTATATTGGACCCAGAAAAGAGCCGACCCTTATCTATTTTAGTGTGAACGAAATGGGATCCTTTTAGTCAACCAGCCTTATAGGACCTCTTCGGCTAATTCTATTAGTTACTTATCGGAAGTGTTCAAATTGCCATCGAACCCGAAGGTCCAATACATACACGAGCATCGAAAAGTTCAAGAACTTAATTTGACATATATTTTACATAACTCGCCGATTCTCGATCATTTCTCATCTAATATTGTATAAATGAGGATTCATTTTAAACTGAATCTAACGTATTTAATTAGGATGATTTGTAAGGTGTTTTGATTAGTTTTCATGTGGAAATTTCACTCTTGACCAAATTTTCTCTGCTTAGTCACCCCTCACCATCACTCATCTACTCTCACCGCCACTCACAGCCGCTCATCGAGTCTTGCCGTCTGTCTTCATCCCCCACCGTGTTAAAGATCCAGAAGCTCACCTCCATCTATCCCTTGTTAAGGATCCCGTTGCCAAATATCCTCCGCCAAGGTCACTGAAACTGGTTTTTCCTAGTCTCCCCCTTGCCTCTCTGTCGTGTGCTCTGCAGGTTGCTGCCCATGTAGGAGAGTTTGGAGCTGCTTGCTCGGTTTTCATCACCCCAAGCTCTCCTTCTCTTCATTGTTGCCAGGTTATGCATTTGTACTGTTCTTTGAGCCCGATAACTTTATACTTTACCGTGGATTGTATTCGTATGTCTTTAAGTGGCAAGTTTATCGCCTTGGTGCGATCCCTTACTGCAATATGCAGGCTCTTTCCCAATTTCACTTCGAATTTTGGTAATATGAAGTCTTGTTTAATTCCTTTGTGGCAGATTGGATTAACTAACTTATTGTCCTGTTCTCCGGTGAAACTGGTTGATTTCTCCTTTATGGAGTATGTACTCCTCCCAAAATTTCCACTTGGTTCAAGTGGTGTGGTTGCAAGGAGTTTGAAGTCGAAGGTCTTATACACTTCGATGCTCGTTCTATCTTCAGGCTCAGCTATATGGTGCTTTGTCACCTTTGCGTCTACTGCCGAATTTCCGATTGTTAAATCTGCACTTGTTGCAATTTCAATCATGGGTATAAGAGCACTATTTGTGTTCTATATTTCCCAAGGCTTCGTTTCACTTTTTAGCACTATTGGCGTCAAGCTTCGAGGACCCCTCCTTGTCTTTAGTGGATTAAGTGTTGTGTTTGCCCCTATCTTTATCATGTTTGTTTCCCGTTTAGCTCTGGTAGCAGCGGTCGTTTTAGCCGGTTTGGCTTTGTTGTCCTTTGTTTGGAACATGTACTCCTCTGATGGAGAGTAAGAGATTAATATAAAGCTTAGTTGTTCAAAAAAAAAAAAAAAAAAAGAAGATGTATATTTTATAATTAAATCACTAAAATATTTGAACACTTTATGAAAAAAATCATGTATCAATTTAGTAGTCATCTATAAATTATTATACTCTAAATCATTTGAATGAAGAATTATTCAAAAAGAGTTTTTAAAAAGAAACGTATATCTAGTCAAATTATTATCATGCGACACATTTATAACGTTATGTATTCTAAGAGTGTGAGCTTATAGTCACTCTTATAGTCTTATCCATATTGATCAGTATTTATATCGCTTTTTTAACGCTATGGCCGCCTCTTTGCAACCCCAACCTATATATGAGAATCTCCTTGCAATTTTGATCCTATCTAAACCAATCCGGATCATTCTCTTTTAGAAAATTTATTAGGCTAAATAAGTGATCCAATCGTCCACGCAATCAGTTCATACGAAAAGTAGATACATCACACCAAAGCATTTTCCATTGTATATAATTAACTTGCTTTTATGATCCCGATCACAATTGTTATCATTACCTTAAATTTAATATTGGGGGCAAAAGCAAAATTGGATTTATCCTCGATAATCTAGTTTTGGACGGCGACGTAAGGACAATAATTTTCGGTTTGGTCGGTTTGATTGGAGCCTCCTTTTTATCAATTTGCATACATTTTAATTCAGATTTTAGTCATAGCATATTGTTTTTTTTGAACAAAGTCATAGCATATATACGTTACTTAATTATATATATACGGATACGACTTATGTGCACCACAAAACAAAGTAGACCCACATTGATGTTCATATGCAGATTATATATAATTCAGTAGTAACAAATTTTATTAACACAAAATGTTTCCTTTTTTTTTTCTTTCGCCAACACAAAATGTTTCTTTAGGACTTGATTGGTTCTCCCGCTACCGTCCGCAAACGCTGCGTTTGCGGGCGGTTGCGGTTGCTAGCGTTTAAAACCAATCATAAAAAACGTTTTATACCGCTCCGAACCGCTTTAAACCGCTCCGAACCGCCGAATTCAAAAGCTCCTTCCCGCAAGCGTTTGCGGTTGCGGGCGGTAGCGGTTGGCAAACCTTTTTTTAATTCAAGTCCTATATAAATATATATTAAAAATACATAAATAACAAATAAATTTAAAAAAAAATTATCAAACCCTATATATATTAACGTTAATTCTCAAAACCCTAATTTTTTCTATTTACCAAAATTATGGCGTCAATCTAAACTCAAGAATGACAAAATACAAACTAATTATTGTAATAAAATTATTAATCCAGAGGATCTAAGAATTCAAAACATCTATTTTTTTAGTTTGTCATATTTTTTTTGTATGTAATTTGTTATATTACTTGATGCTGTTTTTTTATGAACCAAATGCATGAAGTAATAAGCACTTAACTATGAAATATATTATTTTGAATAGTTATGTAGTAATTTTATATATTTTATTATTATTAATTATATATAAATTTTTTTGTATTTTATCATAATAATATAAATATTTGGTGTTTTTATATTTTATTATATAATTATAAATTATATTTCTTTTGATCATTTTCGATTTACCGTTGTCGCATCCGCTGGTTAACCAGTCATAAAACTCCCGCAAACGCACCAATTTTTAACCGCTTAACCAGTCGTTCAAAATGCATCATAACGCTTGAAACCGCAACCGCCCGCTTCCGCAAACTCCCGCAGACGCAACCGCACCCGCTGCGTTTAAACCAGTCAGGCCCTTAATGGTTATATTTTCTCTAATATATTTATCTGCCCGTTACTATCATAACTCTAGTCTCTAGAAAAGTGGAATTTGAAACTCTGAATAAGTAATTAAGAATTAAGAACCACATATAGATAATTCATAATAATTAACTACAATCCAGATTAAATGTCAACATATACTCAATGTTGCATATATGTGTTTCCATCCATTTTCATTTTTCCATGCAAAACCAATTCTCACTGATTTTTTTTCTTACTTGTTATCCAAAAATGAGATAAATTAATACTTTAAAAAAACATAATCTAATATATAGGGTGCAAATAAAAAAGTTAATAGATTTATTGGAAGAAATTTTTATTAAAACTATATATATTTTTATTATTTTTAGATATTCGTAGTGACGAGAAATCAAACATATTATGGCCGTGTTCTTTTAATAGTCGCAGCGTCTGCAACGGCGACTCAAAATTAAAAGGTACGGATTCATTAAATTCGACGTTGAAGAAAATTTAGTTCGAAAATCCAGGCATCCGGTGACTGTTATTGCTTCATAAAAAAGCTTAGGAGATCGTCGCTGTTATTTGCAGCGTCTCTGGAATCACCAGAAAAAAGTCGCAGCGACAGATCATGAAAGAGGTGAAGAAGAGATTGAGGAGATGCAAAAGCTATTTTTTGTTCTCTGATCGCTATCGCTGCAACTTTGCGCCGAACATGGCCATATTGAAATCGGTTACTAACGTCAAATGATAAGATGATTAGCCATTATACATAGTAACAAAGGAAGAAACATCTGGCTGTACCAATATTTTATTTTTTGGGTGGACCAGCCGCAAATTTTTGAATCAGTTTAATTGTTAAAAAGGAAAACAAACTTACAACTAATCTAAGTGTGTTGCCAATTTGCCAAAACAAAAATATAAAAGTGGTGTCAATACTTTTATTAAAATCACTACTGGGTACTGACCAAACAAACACAAAGTGACAAAAATAAACAGGACATTGCTTTAACTCAACATTCTTTAGACTGAACCGAATTTGTCTGATTGCACCAGTCCAAAAACGATCCAGATAATCCATTTTAGTTTATCACCCAAAAAGAAAATAAAAATCCACAAAACCAGAAGTTCTGGATAAAAAAGCCGATTCGATTTTCAAAACCGGCAAAAATCAGTTTTATATCTTAAAAATCTTACAACACGTGCTAGAACATGTTGTTTTTGACATTGAAAAAGAAAGAACATGTATTTCTTAAAATAAAAATTAAAGAATGAGACATAAAAAATGTTTGAGGGATAATAATTTTTTTTTTTGAATAATAAATTTTTTTTACCTTAAATTTTGAATTTTATTTACATATAGTAAATACTAAGAGGTGATATGATAGATAATTGTTACTCTGTAATCTGTATGAATTATGATTCAAAATCTCACAACGATTTGAAAATTGCTAGAATCTAGTTTTGTCTTTTGTGATAATTGTAACACTTTCATAAATTAAATTATAAGCACTACAAATTTACTGGTTTTTTCAATTGATTATACTTTATACTTCTTCTAAACATAAGTTATAATTATTATTTCTATTTTTTTGTCATCCGTTTATAATTAGAGCTCAAAAGAGCTATTTCTGGGAAATGTTGTTTACATAAGTGATGTGATGTCGTTTGTACGAATTTTTCAAATTATCCGCTTTTACATTTGCACTGCGTGAGATTAATTAACTGTTTATTTCATATACTTAAATTCGAGATAATTACATATGAAATATAATAAATTTGGTTAAATAAAATTAAACCGTGAAACACTAAACCAACCAATTTGATTTTTTCTATAACACCTTTTTAAATTAAATAAAAGTTTTTATTTTATTTTATAAAAGTTTCAAAATAAAAAACGCAGACATATAATATAATGAAACATGCATATCCCTGTCAGTTGTAGTTTTCAATTTTCTTAACAACATAACCGGTTTTAAATTTTGGTATCAGTTGTTGTAGTTTTCAATTTTCTTAATAACGTAACCGGTTTTAATAGCATAATTTGTTTTGCTTTTTTTTTTTTGACGGCGTTTTAATAACATTAGTAATCAGTTTTTTTGTCGGCAAATTATAAATTTTAATATTAGGTACATGTTAAAATTTTGAATGGCCCGTGAAAGAATTGATGAGTGAGTAATAGCAGTGAAAATATAAATTAAAATAGAGAAAGCATATATATTATACAAATTGGGGATGATGTGTCGGTCCTTGTAATGGCGGCCAGCTTTTTTTGAAATTGAAATGGAAAAATGTCTTATTAACATTTGCAGAAGATTCCACTAACGTTCTGATCAATGATGATGTGATTTAATTACACTTAGCTAACTTATAATTTGTTTTACAAAAGAAATATATGATCATAAACCCCAAATATAATTTTATTATTATTACCATCTATAATATATTTATGCAGAACGTGATGGTAAAAAACAGAAAGAGCAGATGGGTCAATCACATAATACTTTATCCCTTAAACATCTCAATTTGAATTGATTGCGTGTATAGACTATAGACTAATCACAAGATAAAATTTACATTTCCTTAACTATTTCTTTACTGTTAAGGAAACAAATCTCTACAAATCTTCGAAGAATCCAAAAACCAAAATTTATTGGTTTTCTAACAAAATTTACTTGACCCTTTTTTTTAGAAAATATTTGAAACAGAAAACAAAAAAATATATTTTAAGATAGATAACTAAACAAATCACCATTTAAGATTTTGTAAAAACTAAAATCTACACCAAAAATCAGAAAAAAAAAAAAACAAAAACTAAAAACCAATTAAAAACTGCAAATTCATGGCCATAAATTTACTATTTTTGTATTTTGTCCTAAAACACAGTGCTAAGTAACTTTGATCAAAAGAAAAAATTCGAAAAACAATTTTTGATTTGGTTCTATTTTGGTGATTGGCTTTAAGAGAATAATAAAGCTGGAAATTGAGGATCCTACCAATTTGCATGTGGAATGATCAATTCAAAAGGCCCACAAAAGATTAATCTAAAAGCCAACTCAGCCAACCCAATTGAACAAATGTGCTAAGTTTTGTCACTATACATCATCTACCTGTCTTCTCACTGACTTCAAATCTTTTTAAGTGATCATCATATATCACACATATATGTTTCTAATGATCTGGGTGATTCAGAATTAGTACTCACAGTAGGTTTCTTGCAGAGAAAACAACTGTTCAAACCCTAAACCTCCAAATCATTTCTTCACTGCATGAAAGATGGAAACTGGAGTTGTCACCATCCAAGAACCAGTCTCTACAAAGGTACGACCATGATGATTATGCTACATAGATACATAAGTTACATATGTGTATATTATATCTATGTATCCTCTCCTTCTTTCAGGTTTTTTTTTTATTAAAATGAAAAAGTATGTTTTTCTTTTTCTACCTTTTTTTCTGTTTTCCTTTTGCAGTATTATGATTACAAATTTTTTTAAATTTTTTTAAAATTATGATGGAGATCTTGAAAACTAGATTTTATGAATTCATAATCTGTTTTACTCTCTAGCTACAGATTCTGTATTTTAGAACCTTATATATATATTCAAGATCTTTCAATAACTTGTATGCCTGAGACTTGCATCTGACAGTAGATAAGTTTCAATCCAAATAACTTGGAACTGTATAATGATATCTATAAAATTTTCTGACTTGAGACGAGTCTGCGATTTATGGTATGTCGGGATCATAGTTTTGTTTCAAGTTTTCGGGTTAAGGCTCTGTATCGATCGATGAAAGTAAACGTTTTGAGATACTAACATGTTTTTTTTTATACACAGGCTGAGGTTGGAGAAGCTCCTGCAGGAGTAATACTTGACAAATCATCCATGGAAGTACATAATATAAACCAAGGTACTGTTCTTGATGATGAGATCACAAGTGGCGATCGCAGAAACAATATTGTTACGGGAGAAGCAGATGTTGTAAATGGTTCAGGTGATGGACCAAGAAACTGCCACACATTCAAAATGTTTCAAATTTCTTTAAAAGCATGGAAATTGTTACTCATCAATACTGTTTTATATGATCAGGGAATAAAGAAACCGAAGAATTAGAACACGAAAAAGGAGAAGTGACAAAGACTATTTCAGTTGTCGATGACAGTCAGATCGTTAATGATGATCAAGACTCTTTCTTCATTCATGAACCTCAAAGCTTCAACAAAGCAACAGAAGATGAGAACATTATTTTAAGTGATGTGACTTTAGAGAAAAAGAAAGAAGATGATACTACCGGAAAGCCAGAAGAGGTATTTGTTTAAGTTCCTTGAAGTACTTTAAACACTAGAGATGCTCAAAATTTACTAAGAGAGTATAATTTCTGTTTTTCTGTTTTGCGCAGGTAAGTGTCGAAAAACCGGTAATAGAAGAAGATCACACAGAAACAAAACACTTACCAGAACAAGAGGAAGAGACTGGTAACATCTCTAAGGTATTGATTGATACCGCACCTGTAAAATTTGATGAAAACAACATAGAGAAGAGCTAGAACTCTTATGTAAAATTCGTTTACCGTTCTCTATTGCAGGCCCGTGAAGATATACCGATAGAGACTGAGAAAGTAAAAGAAGAAACAGATTCAAGTACTGTTGAGACCTCTGTAAATGGAACAGAGGCTGAGCATAACGCAACGGTTTCAGTAGAAGAAATCTCGAGGAATGGTGATAACATTGTGAATGCAAAAGTTCCAGAAGATCAAACCGCAACAGATGGGGAACCACTACATGTTGTTGATAATACAAAAACAGTTCTTCTTGAAGTGAAAAAAGAAGAAGAAGATGCAGAACCGTTGTATAAGACAGTTGTAGACGACGCTAATACCACTAATAATGAAGAAACTACAGCTCATGAATCTATAATCTTGAAGGGAGATAACCATCAGGAGGAGTATGCAGAACCAGTAGAAGCAATCAAAAACTCGGACGATGCAGAGCAAATCTCACGTGAAGTGACTGTAGACAAAGAAAAGCAAGAGGACATAACCCAAAAAACAGAAGAGGTTTTGTTTAATTCTTCAAAGCTAAAGATTATATTTGAGAAAAACATATTTCAGACTACGTTATTAACACAATCTGATCCTTTACTGTGCAGGTTCAAGAAAGTCCTAGTGTAATCGAAACACCGACAATAAAAGGAGAGGACATTGAATCAAAAGTTTCATTAGACCATGAGGATAAAATGTCAAAGGATACTAAGGAGCAAGAACATTTGTTCGTGAGAGACGTACCAGTACCACAAGGTGATACGCTTGTAACTGAAGCTGAGACTGCAGATACTTCAACAGTCCAAGAAGCTGAGATCTTGAAGACCAATATTACTGAAAAAGAGGCAATTCACAGTGCAATAGGTGGAGAAGAAGAAGGTCAAGAGACAAAGGAAAACACAAAACCGAGTAAAGATCTGAAAGACGATAAAGAACAAGAAGAAATAGAGACCATAATTTCATCTGATGAGGTAAGGATACAATCTCCATATATATAACTTTTTTTTTCTTCTGTGTTGGTTCTTTGTCATGACTCATGAGGAAGATAGAACTAAGACACGATTAACACTACGAAAAACCTGAAATCTTGAAATTAATAATGAATGGTTAAGGCCAAAAGTACTTTTCTAAAATTCTGCATTCCTTTAAATTTGTTTGTTTCAATAAACAGGTGAGATCTTCTGATGTTCATGGTGAAGTATTTGGTGAACATAGCGAGCCTTATAACTCGGAGATCAAAGATGGGAGCTATGGAAGAGAAGAATCTATTGAGGTCAAATCTAAAGAGACAGTTCCAGAAAAAGAAACCGCAGCAGATGGTGAATCAGTACATGGAACTACACAAAGAGTTCTTTTTGAAGCAGAAAAAGAAGAAGACAAGGAAGAGATTAAAATAGATGAAGAACCGAAACTGAATGCGATAGAGAAAGTGGAAACAGAGACTGTAAAGACAATTGTAGAAGACCCTGAGATTGTTAATAATGAAGAAACTTCAGTCCATGAATCTGAAAGCTTGAAGGAGAATGCAGAACCACTGGAAGCAATCAAAAACTCAGATGATGAAGAGAAAATCTCACGTGAAGTGATCGTAGACAGAGGAAAGGAAGAGGACATAACCCAAAACACAGAAGAGGTTTTTCTTAATTACTTAAAGCTAAAGATCCCATTTGAGCTAAGCATTTTTCAGGAAACTTTTATAATTAATACTATTTATCCTTCACTGTGCAGATTCAAGAACGTCCTAGTGTAATCGAAACATCGAAAATACAAGGAGAGGACATTGAATCAAAAGCCTCACTAGAACTTAAGGAAGAGGTAGATCAAAGCTCAAAGGATACCGAGGAACATGAACATTTGTTGGAGAGAGACTTACCGCAGTGTGAGACCCTTGAAGTTGAGGCTGTTGAGACAAAAGAAGACACAAAACCAAGTCTGGACCTGAAAGAGGATAAGGAAAAAGAGGAAACAGAGACGATAAAAGCCGTCATTTCGTCTGATGAGGTAAGGATGTGATCTGCATAGATATTGATTCTCTCATTTTTTACTTCTTTGTGTGTGTGATATTGTTGATGAGATTAAGAAACCTGCAATTTTGAAGTTAATAATGAATGACATGAGTTTTGTTACTACAGAGCTAGCTCAAGTTTAACTTACATATCTTATAATGAAAATTTATCTACCTTTTTTTCGCGTGTTACAGTCTTTGAATCCTCTGCATTCCTTAAATTTTGATTCTATAAATAAACAGGTGAGATCTGATGTTCAAGAAGTAGTTATTGCTGAACATAAAGATGAGAGCCATGGAAGAGAAGAATCTGTTGAGGTCAAATCTCAGGAGACTGTTCAAGACGAAAACATTGAGGAGAAGCATGAGGATCATATTGATGTACCATCTAAAGAATCGGAGAAGTGTCAAGACAACGAACCCGAGACAGTTCTAGTCTCCAATACAGAAAGCCATGAGAAATCTGAAGAAAGTCCATTAGATCTTGCGTTAAATGTAGATAAAGAGGAGCTGAATGATGAGAAGATAAATGTTGATGGAACTAAAATTACGGAGGAACAGAAAGGCTTAGACTCAAACAGGGCAGAGGCAGAGCAAATTGATCGAAACAGAACCGATGAAAAAGAGGAAAGCCCAGTTGCAAAGCCGGTTTCTCTTCCGGATTTTGAATCAGTGGAGCAGATGCAGAAGCCAACACTTGAGTCTCCTTCTGAAGTATCAGAAGAATCAAGCAAAACTGTAGATGAGAAAATCGAAGAAAAAACAGAAGAAGAAGTAACAGTCAATCAAGAAGGCCAAGTGGACGGTTCCTATGGATTAGAGACAAAAGAAGAGACAGTTTCAGTACCGAAGAGTATTGAGCTTGGAGAACAACCCCAAGAAGAAAGGAGTGTGATTGATCCGACTCCTCTGCAAGAAGAATCATTCCTACCAAATGAGCAAGAAAAAGAAACAAAGTTAGAGAAGCATGAACCAACAAATGAAGAAGTTAAATCTGATGAAGTCATAGAAGTTTTATCTGCATCACCTTCAAAGGAACTGGAAGGTGAGACCGTTGTTGAAGCCGAAAAGATTGAAAATATAAAAGAGTATGAAGAAGAACAAGCAGCAGACAAGATCCAGAAAAGTCTTGAGACTGTTGAAACAGTTGAATCTCATAGTTCATTGCCATCTTTTTCAGAGGAGCAAGAACATGGGGCTGTCTCCGAGAAGATAGAAGCCGGAGAAGTGAAGGAGGAAGAACCGATGGTCCAAATAAAAAGTGAGGACGGTGAAACAAAAAGTCATGAGAGACAAGAAGAATTTTCTAAGGATGTAGAGACGAAAGAAACAACGGTTGTCCAAGATGAGAAGAACAGAGATATTGAACCTTCTTTAACTGAAAAATACTCCATGGATCAGTCTCAACCTGAGGAACAGGAAAAGGAATTGTCGGGGAACAGTGAGAACGTTGTGAATGAAACGTATGCGTTGCATAGCGTAGAAGCTGCAGAAGAAGAAACTGCAACAAATGGTGAATCACTACATGATGTCGAAACTACAAAAAGTGTTCTTCTTGAAGTGGAAAAAGAAGAAGAAGATGCAGAGATTAAAACAGATTCAGAACCGAGGTTGGATGCGATAGAGAGAGAGGAAATAGAGACTGTAAAGACAGTTGTAGAAGATGCTAAGATCGATAAAAATGAAGAAGCTACAGTTCATGAATCTGAAAGCTTGAAAGGAGATGATCACCAGGGAGAGAATGCAGAATCAGTGGAAGCAATCAAGAACTCAGACGATGCGGAGCAAATCTTAAGTGAGGTGACTGGAGACAGAGAAAAGGAAGACGACATAGCCCAAAAAGCAGAAGAGGTTAGTATTTATTCTTAATCTAAAAAATAGATTGAGCATAACATTATTCAATCAACTTTACTAACACTATAAAATCTTAAATCTAACATTATTTCTATGCAGGTGCAAGAAAGTCCTAGGGTAATCGAAATACCGAAAATACAAGAAGAGGACATTGAATCGAAAACCTCAATAGAACTTAAGGAAGAGGTAGATCAAAGCTCAAAAGATACAGAGGAACCTGAACATGTGTTGGAGAGAGACATACCACAATGTGAGACTGAGACCCTTGAAGCTGAGGCTGTAGATACTTCAACAGTCCAAGAAGCTGCGATCTTAAAGACTTTGGATAACAATATTAGTGAAACAGAGGCAGTGCATAGTGAAATGGGTGGAGCAGAAGAAGGCCAAGAAACAAAAGTAGCCACAGAAACGAGTCTAGACCTGAAAGTGGGTAAAGAACAAAAGGAAGCAGAGACAGTAAAGGCTGTCATTTTTTCTGATGAGGTAAGCTTTCACATGTGTTGGCCCTTTGTGTCTGTGATATTGATGATATGGTTAGAACTAAGACACAATGAACACTATGAAAAGCCTAAATATTTGATGTTGAATATGAGTTGGCATGAGTTTATTACGTTGGTTAAGGCCAAAATTACTTGTCACTATAAAGCTAACTGATCTAGTTTACTTCACAAGTTTTTGACTATGTTGGTTCTTGTCTTTGGATTCTCTGCGTTCCTTTAAAAAAATTTTCTTTCATTCGACAGGTGAGACCTTCCGATCAAGTTGATGTTCAAGCAGAAGAATTTGGTGAACATACCGAACCTTGTAGCTCAGAGATCAAATATGAAAGCGAGGGAAGAGAAGAATCTGTTGAGGTCAATTCTAAGGAGATCGTTCAAAGTGTGAGCAGTGAGGAGAAGGATGTGAATCTGCTTGATATACGATCTGAAGAATCAGAGAAGTATCAAGAAAATGAACCTGATGTATTTCTAGTCTCGAAGACCGAAAGCGGAGATAATTTTGAAGAAATTCCATCTACTGTTGAAGGTGCTGGGTTAGATGAGACCACACAAAACCAAACTCTTGCGGATGTAGAATCAGTTGAGAAGGTGCATACACCATCTCTTGAGACTCCTTCTGAACTATTTGAGGAAACAAGCAAAACCGAAGATGAAAAGATCAAAGATAAACCAAAAGAAGAAGTAACATTGCATCAAGAAGGTCAAGAAGAAGGTTCCAATGGATTAGAGACAAAAGAAGAGACGGTTTCAGTACCAGAAAGTAGGGAACTTGGAGAACAAGCCCATGAAGAAGAATTATGGCTGCAAAATGAACAAGAAAAAGAAGTAAAGTTGCAGAAAGAACAAACAAAGGAAGAAGTTTCTAATGACCAGCAGACTCCCATGGGAGAAACATCTGATCAAGTTATAAAAGTTTCATCTGCATCACTTTCAGAGGGACCGGAAGATGAGACCCTTTTTGAAAAAATTGAAGACAAAGAAGTAGATGGGGAAGAACAAGTAGCAGACAAGATCCAGAAAAGTCTTGAGACTGTTGAAACAGTTGAACCTCATAGTTCATTGCCATCATCTTCCGAGGAGAAAGAACATAAGACTGTTCCCGAAAAGACAGACGGCGAAAAAGTTAAGGAGGCAGAACCAATAGGAGATATGAGGGAGAGAGGTCTTGACTTTGCTGAAACAACACATCCGAGTCTTCCATCCGTTGATCAGAAAGAGGATATCAAAGCTTTTGATGAAGAAATTCATATTCCATCTGTTGTTACTTCAACAGAAAAAGGAGAAACAAATAAAGCAAATGAAACTGAAGATGATAAACTGGATGAACATGTCGATTCTTCAACCTCCCCAATGTTATCAGAGAAAAATGATGATGAAACTCAGACTGCAGAGGCAGAGAAAGAAAATGAAGAGATAACAGTGAGCACCTCAAAAACATCAGAACTTGAAACTCCAAAGCCAGAGGAGTCAAAAGAAGACAAGAGCCAGGAAATTGCTGAGACCATCAAAGACATTGAAGCGAGTGATCAGACTCTTCCCATCGAAACATCACATACAGATAATACTCTATCATCTGAATTAGTGTCAGAACAAGATGACCAGACTCCTAAGCAGGTTGTGGAGATTCATGAGGAGGAACCAAAGGACGCACATGAGGTAGAAGCAACGAGTGATCGGAATCTTCCAGTTGAAACATCACATGTAGATAATACTCCGTCCTCTCAGTTATCAGAACTGGATGACCAAACTCTAAAGCAGGTTGATGAGATTCATGAAGAAGAAACAAAGGAAGAACACAAGTTACACGCTGAAGAAATCCTCCCTATCGAAATTATTCCAAGAGAATCATCTGATGAAGCTCTAGCTTCCATTTTGGCTTCTAAGGAAGACGGTCACGTGGCTCTGCAAGAAGATAATTGTGCCGATGGCGTTAGAGAAACAAAGGACATACAAGAGGAACGATCTGTTTTTGTGGAAACAGAAGAGAGTGTAGGAGAAACAAAACCAAAAGAGCCTGAAGATGAAATAAGGGATGAACATGTGGAGACTCCAACCTCGCCAATAATCTTGGAGGAAAATGATAGTGAGACTCTGATTGCAGAGGCAAAGAAAGGAAATGAAGACATAAATGAAACAGAGAGAACAGTTGCTTTGGAAAGCTCAGGGACCTCAAAGAAATCAGAAAATGTATGCATTAAACAAGAAGAGTTTGTGAACCATGAAGCTCCAAAGCTAGAAGAGACAAAGGAAGAGAAGAGCCAAGAAATTCCTGAGACCGCTAAAGCAATAGAAACTACTATTGATCAGACTCCATCCTTAGTTTCAGATAAGGATGACCAAACTCCAAAGCAAGTTGAGGAAATTCTTGAAGGTGAAACAAAGGAAACACACAAGGTACAAGCTGAACCTATCCTCTCTACAGAAACCGTTCCAAGAGAATCATTCATTGAAGCTCCAGTTTCCATGTTGGCTTCTGGAGAAGACGAACCAGTGACTCCGCAAGAAGGAGACTATGCAGGTAACACACAAGAGGAACCACATGTTTCTGTAGAAACAAAACCAAAAGAATCGGAAGCGGAAGGAATAGAAAAATCAGATGATCAGGTTGAGGATGAAAGTACAAAGAAAACGGATGTCGAAGTGGCTGAGTTAGCAAATGATAATCCTACAGAGGAGGCTGAGCATGGAGATGAGACTTACTCAACTCTTCCAGTTGTTGGAATCTTGACACAACTCCAAACTACATTGGAGTCTGAGAGAGAAATCGATGATTCTGCATCATCCGGAGAAAACTCGATAAAAGAGCCTACAGATCAAGATCAAGAACAAAAGAAAAGTGATGTTGAGGTTGACTCAAATGAAATAGATTCTGCTACTGGGATCATAGAAGCAAAAACATTACAAGAAGATGAAAGCGGAGAAACTGAAAAAATCCAGGAAGAAAACGGTCTCGCAGGGAAATCTCTTCCAATAGAAGAAAGTTTGCAAGAGGAACATAAAGAAGAGGTAAAAGTACAAGATGGAATCAGCAGAGAGTTTGAAGTCAACGTCGAAGAGAAATTACAAGAAGAAACTAGGGAGATTGCAGACTATAAGGGAGAAATTCCAGAAGTGTTACCTGGTGAGAAAATTGTGATTCCATCTTCTGCGTTGCCTTCTGAGGAGCTAGAGGATGTGAATTCTGCTGAAAAGCAAGAAGAACGTGAGCCACAACAAGATGTCAATGCTTCAACATCAGAGAAGCAGAAAGAGACTCATGAAACTGTTAAAGATAAAATTGTTGATAACATAGACGAAAAGAAGAATGAGGAGGTACAAGATGAGAAGCTTCAGGGTCTTTCTGCCACAGGGGATATAGAAGAAATTTTTTCATCAGAAGTGAAAAAGGATAAAGAAGATGCAAGTGAGGTTGGAGTACTTGGTCATGATGTCGTCACACCAGAAGTAGAAAAAGAAGAAGAACCTCACAGTGTGTTGGAGAATGTAGAAGAGATCAACGAGTCAGTCACATCAGAGAAGCAAATTACAGATCCAGTGGGAGTCATAAAGAAAGCTAGTGAAGCTGAGCATGAATCACATGAAGAACATGTTGAAACTCAAGCCATATCAGATGATACAAAGAGCAACAATGGTAGGGATTTTCCAACAGAACAAGCACCAAAGGATCAAAGTGACGACGTTAGTGCTGATGAATCTCTCACTAAAGACGTAGTAGGTGAGCAACTTCAGGTTCCATCCTCAACAGTACTAGATGATTTCAAAGAGAACAGTAACACGGAAGCAGTGACGGACCTTGCTGCAGTACAGAATTCATGTGAAGTCATTCAGTCTCATCAATCTCCCATTGAAGAAACTTCATTTGAAGTCGAGAAGGCACAAGAAGATAAAAACGAGGAAACTGTTGATGCTTTGATAACGAACGTGCAAGTGCAAGATCAGCCCAAGGACGACTTTGAAGCTCCTGCAATAGAGAAAGAGATATCACAACAAGAACAGAAGTCGAATGATCTCACAGATGCCCAAGAAGATATTGGTACATATGTTAAAGTGCAAGTTCCTGATGATAAACTTGGTGACGAAGATGCAATCAAAGATGGAGTTACTGTTGAAGAGGTAATATTTAAACCAAAGAAACTAGTATTTAGTCAACTTTAGATACTGTGGTTCTACTAATTATCAATTGTTGCTGACCGAAGTTTTTAATGTGATATTGGCAATGCAGAAGAACAACACGTCTGAAAATATTGATCACGAAGCTGCAAAAGAGATCTATCAAGAAGAGAGTAAGCAAACAGATACTGTCAAGGAAGAGATCAAAGAGGTATGAAAATAAACATTATTCAGTAATGTTTTTGTTTTTGTTCTCACAATCATTTAATATCTAAATCAAAGAAACCATGTTTTTGCAGAAGGAAATAAATCAAGAAAGTTTCAACAATGTGAAGAAAACTGATGATGTGATAGACAAAACACAACCCGAAATTCCGGGTATCGAAAGCTTGTCTTCTGTCAGCAAAACACAAGACAAACCAGAGGTAAAAGATACTTTGGTTTGGTATCATCATCCTGCTTTTTGCATAAGTAAAGGACACAGATTATTTCAAAGTCACAAGTCCTGAAAACAAAAGCTTATTTCATTTTTTGCAGCAAAAAGATGAAGTTCCAAACCAACAGAGTAGGGAAATAACCAATGAAGTTCCAAAGCTAGAGAATCCAAAGATTGGAGAAGAACTACAACAAAAAGATGGAGAATCTGAGAACACCAAAGATTTGTTTTCAGAAGTAAAAGATTCTGAACCGGCAAGGAAATCGCTATCAGACCACATCCAGAAAGTGAAAGGAACAAATAAGATTGAAGAGGCAACAACAGAACCGCATATCGAAGAAGAGCCTAAAACAGAGGAAGATGAGAATGATGATGAAGATCATGAACATAAAGATGATAAAACAAGTCCAGATTCTATAGTGATGGTTGAAGCTAAAGATACAATAAGCAATATCAAGACTCATAAGAAATCTCACGGCATTCTCTCTGGTGTTGGTTCAAAGGTAAAGCATTCCATTTCCAAGGTCAAGAAAGTACTCACTGGCAAATCTTCTCACACAACAAAGCCTTCATCACCTAAATAAGAGAAGAACAAAAAAAACACAATCAGTGTCTATAAAGCTTTTTTTGTTTGGTTTGTTATTTTTTTGATTGGTTTGTTTTTTTTGTGAATATTACAGATATGTTTGTGGGTTTTTTTTTACATGTTCAATATATTGCAGAATGAATTGGTTTGGTTACTTTGTTTTTTACCTGATTATTGATTACTTCTCTCCTGCACTTTTTATGAACCTAAACAAATACAATTACACATGTTTATAGTTACATTATACAGTAGAAAACAAAAGTTTTCTCATGTGTTTATCTAATCTAAGTTTGTAATATAAAGCTCTTGCTTAGCTATAAAATACTTTCCAATAAGATCACCAGATTCAACCACAAACTGTTCTTGAAATCGACCAACACGTCTACTTGCGACATCGAACCCGAGATCTTTGAAACTCGGAAGCCCTTCTGCTTGAACTCCATCACCACATATCAGAAACTGATTTCCGACAATAAACGATCCAACGGCACGAATTATGACTCCACCATTGCCGTGTGGCTTGCAATGAAGCTTCTCAACGACATGGACGAGTTTCTCACTCGGTAAATCCCCTGTTAATGTGTTACGAATGTCTGATAATGCTGAGAAGATTTCAGTTGATCCTGTGTGATGTTTCCCAGAGAAACTGAAAACTGAAGTTCCAGTGTAGAGCGATTTTGCATGGTTCCAGAGATCATCAAATCCATCAAAGAGGGAGTAATAGTGTATGGTGAGCATCTGAACAAATCCAATAAGATCATTAATGTTAAGTTTACTTTGGTATTTGCTAACTAAGCAAAGTATTAAACCATCATATACTTACATCAGCTAAATCTTTCAATCTCTGAGTTGGATCAAAGATGCTTTGAACAAAAGTCGCCAAATCTACTCTTTCCTTCTCGTGTTTTGTAATAAAAGGGTGTGACAAGAGCTGTTTAAGAAACAGAGGAAACACCATCAGACTTGAATCATAGTTGCAGAGTAGCGTTTCTGACCGTAAAAAAAACACAGACTTATAGGAAATAACAGACAAATACAACAAAAAGCATCAAATTCTTTAGCATAGTTGTATTAAAACAGACAAATACAAAGAAATGCATCGAACTTCTAACGAAATCTTGCTTTAAAACAGACCAATAGAAAGAAAAGCACCGAACTTTTAACCAAATTTTGCTCTAAAATGACTTATTTCAGTAAAGTACTAGACTTGTAAATGTATGACATTTCAATTTACCAACCTGGTCAGCTGTTGGTCTAGCATCTGGATCCTTCTGGAGGCAAGCATCAATGAAGGAACAGAACTCTGGTGAAAATTCTTGTTTTGGTGGTGTTGGTGATGGATCATCCAAGATCTTCCAATCACATAACACAAAAGACATAAATTTAGTGTAAACTATAAATAATATATCAGAGAAAAGGATTCGGGGACAAGTTGATTCACCTGCAACATAAGATTAACAGGGCCTTCATTAGCTATATACGGAAACTCTCCAGTGCCGCATTCAAAAAGAGCGAGACCAAGGCTCCATATATCAGCTGGATAAGAATAACTATCATTCCTTATTCTCTCCGGTGACATGTAGGTGACAGTTCCAACAAAAGTAGCACACTTTGCAACCCCCATTTTCAGATATATCAAGTTAGAAACTCATAAAGAATTATTGGATCCATAAGGTGTGAAAGAGTGAGATTCCATCACTAACCATAGCCATTGAGTTCTCGAGACCAGCACTTATGCCAAAATCAGTTATCTTTGGTTCCCCTTTGAGATTTATAAGCAAATTTGCGGGTTTAATGTCTCTATGGACAAGATGTCTCACTCCATGCAAGTAGCTCAATCCCTTGAAGCGAAATCGCATCACCAAGAATGAAGTTATATACACTTAACATACCATATCAATGTTTCACACTGGAGAGAGAGTTAAGTATTTTTACTTGCAAAAGCTTGTGGAACAATGATGAAAGAACCGGCTCAGGTATCTTCTTTGTTACTTTTAAGATATCTGCAAGAGATCCTCCATTCATATATTCAAGAGCTATGCTGATTTGTCCCGAGTCTGGACTATAAAACGCTCCGTGAAAATCCACAAGTCCTTCATGACAAGGAGCTTCACACAATGTCCGTATCTCTGTAAGCAATTGCTGTCTTTTCTCCTACTCACCAAAATCAGTCAATATTCAAAAAGACATACTAAATGGAGTTAAATTTTTCTCTTTAATCAAGCAAGAGAGATTACATTACCCTTTCAAAGATATTAATCTTCTTCAAAGCTAGAATTCTGTGATTCGGGATATGAATAGCTCGTTGAACAACACTGCTAGCTCCGCTTCCTATAGCTCCAAAAACCCGCATCTCGTGAGAAGCACATTGATACGTCGTCTCAGAACTTTCAGACTCATCCACATGAGAAGATGTACATTTTTGTAACCCGAGCTCGTTAAAATTGTAAACTCCATATGATCTACTAAGTAAATTCACAGTTCCACCATCTGATAACTTCACAAACAAACAAACAAAAAGAAGATAATAATGTAAACAAAATCAGAAACATAACAAAACTTCTTAACTATGAAAATCACAACACAAGAATCTTACTAAATAAGAATCGTTTGGATCCAACGATGACGATGAAGAAAAACCCTTCTCAGCATCAAATAATGGAGAAAGCTTCTTCTTTAGCTCCTCCAATGCCGCCATGATAACTACTTTTTCCTGTAACATAGACAAGAGTCAATGAAAAAAACCCAACCTTTTTAAGGTAAGAGCGTTCAATTTCAAAACTTTCTATTAAGAGAAACTAATTTAGCCAATAAAGACGATTTCTTACTTAAACAAAACATGAAAAAAAAATCCCCAAATTTTCAAGTTTCACTTTTCTTGTAGCATTCAATAGAATTGGATCAAAGTCCTTATGAGTCAACAAAATAGTCATGATTCACTAAACATAACAGTGAACAAATCGTAGAAAATTCAGAATTAAATCAATGGATCAAATTCAGATATTGAAGAAATCATGCAAAACCAAAATGATATATATAACTCTTAGGATTAAAGAAAAAAAACTTACCTTTTGTTACTCTCAAAGTTTGTTGCTTTTCGATAACCCTTTTCGTTCTTCAAAGGTTTGTTTATTTTGTTTTCTGTCTCCTTGAGATGTGGAAGACGAACAACCTCTCTAACGTTTCTCTCTAAAGAAGCAACTCCGACAGTAACGCTGTGTTGTTTTATGATTTGAAAACTAAACTAAGTGCCGTCTTGTAAGTATTAAAACACCACAAAGTTTAGTTTGTAAATTCGAAACGGGAGTTATTATGTTTTCGTGGGCCAATATAAATTTAGAAGTGGCCCAACTACTCCTGCAGGCCCATAAGTTTTTTTTTTTCTTTTTTTTTCCTAGTCAATTCCATATGCTGATAGGAATTTTCCCCAATTTACATACAATTGAGACACCATCAATGAAACTCAAAAGAGTAATATATTGTGGTTAAAAGCAAAGGAAATCAAATGAAACAAGGAAGGATTTTGAGTATAGGTTTTTTACTTATTTACTTTTGATCCAATGGAAACGTAAAAACTATTTAAAAATTGAAGTAACATAGACCATATATTTATGTAGAATCAAAACAAAACGTGCCATCGCGATAAGTAGTTGGCAGCGTGTATCTCACGCGCTAAAAGTTTTTCTCCCAAATCTCTTGCCGAAAGTTCTTCTCTTTTGCAGATCTGCTCGCCTCTCCGGTGTTTCGGTTTCGACCGACGCCGTGAGAGGGCTCACCTTTCTTTACTTTTCCGCTACTCTGTTACCGGCGCTTGGGTTTTTCGGCGGCTCATAGATTTGCGTTTGAAACTCACGGTGTTTGGGAGGAGATCCGCCGTGCGTGACGGCCATCCCGTGGTTTGTTGGTGCTTCTCCGTCCAGCTCTCTTCGCTAGTCGACGGCGTGAGATCAGGTGGAGTCACAGTTCCCTCATTTGCGTCACGCTCTCGACCGGCAAAGATCTTATTTTAGATCTACTCCTCCTCCCACGTGATGCGTGTGGTGGAGAAGGCTTCTCTCGGTGGTTTTTACGGCCGTCGCGTTGTCCATCCTCTGCCCTCTCATGTCTCACATTCTCCCCAGCTTTTGCAGGGAAGGTCCACCGTAGGTCGAGCTACAGTTTCCGGTGGTTCGGGCTGCTTCACACTGATTCATCGTTTTGAGGACGGCGATTTTCCAGAAGTTAGTTGCCTCTGTCCCCGCCGTGTAGGTCGTCTTCGTCAGTCGGAGCTTGTGGCGTCTAGAGTGGTAGCCTCGGCTACTCTTGTCACGCTTCTTCAGATAGGTTTCAAAGCAATGCTTTCTCGACGGTATTTTTGGGTGTTAGCCTCGACGTTATGACTTGGTGTTTGGATGATGACTTCTCTGTTGGTCAATTCTGCTAGAGGACGGTAGCAGAACTTTTAGGAGAGTTTTCGTTGTGACGGGTCAAGTGTGTGGCTTCGTCTCGGGCTTCTCATTTTGTACCCTCGAGTAGTTACGGTGGTGCTGGCTTTGATGACGGTTTAGCCTCCGGTGGTGGCTGTTTTGCTGTCTTCATTTGATCCACGCCTCTTGTATTCTTGACTCTTTGACTTTGGCTCAAGCCTTGGTTTTGATCGTGTCTTGCTGTTGGCGTTGCTTTGAGTTGGAGTTAGTATTGTGCTGGGTTTTTGCCTTTTGTTTGCGTTTTCGGTTTGTGTCCTAGAGGAGCTAGTAAGGCCATTGGTGATCGTTGTGGTTTTGGATTGTTTTTTTCTTGCTCTGTGCTAGCCGACTTCGGGTTTGAACTTGGTAGAGGGAGCTCGCAGCGTTCGCATAATTTGGTTCGTGAGGTTCCGTTTTGGGAAAGCTCATGGATGTGATATTCAGGTCGCTCTCACATACCGGAGGAGACGCATGTGTTCGAGGATTTTGAGTTATCTGCCGTTGACGGCCCAAGCTCGGACGTCCAGTGAAAGGCTTCTAGTGTTAACATTCTTTCGCAACTCGGCTCCTACTCCTTGCAGTTCCCTTCTTCTCCAGCAACAA